TGAGCAGCGACTCTTACAGGTCTAACTTTCCTATAAGTGTGCGTGTTTACTTTTTTATGGATATTTTCGATGTGAAGATTTAGTGACTTGGCGGAAGCATGATAAAGAACACACGTTTTGCATGTTCGACTTGATAGCCTCAATTTTACCATCGGACAAAAATAATCGTAGGGCATTTGCAGGAAATCTTTGAGTGAAGCACTTAAGCGTAGAGCTAAATTGACTGGAAGATTAAGAAATTGCCCTCCTTCATCCAAACCAAGTCGTCAACTGTTTGTTTTACTTTTACAGGTGGTGGAAGAAACCTATTGTCTAGTAATCTAAATAGGTCACTTCTTGGACGACAGCATTCTGTACTTCTACATGTTACAATTTGAAGCAAGTATTGGCTCTCAGGCACATGTTCTGAATACCATTTAATGTCTGGAAGTCAGGAAGATCTTGTTCACCTGCCCCAACATATTTTGCATTAACATTATATCCCTCAATTTCCATTGAACTTCATACTTCAGCTAATACATTTCCTGCAAATTCGAAATAGATCTTTCTAAATGTTCATCAATTGCAACGCCACGTCATCCAAATGAGCCCTAAAATGGTCAGGAGGCAATATTATACCAGCCAGTTCCCGACTAAGAGGAGCCATTCTGCGCTCTACTCTGTTATACGCACTTCTTCCAGGAGCATTGGTAGCTAAAAACAATGCATCGAGATCATGTCGCTTAAAGTGCTGTATAGCAACCCTATGACTTTTTGATAACGTGGATTTTCATCTGGCCCTCCATCAACCGTCATGATTACCACTGGTTTTACTAGTCCATGGTCAGTTTTAGCTAATGGTCGAAACTCTTCAAGTTCGAGAAGCGTCTCGCAATCCTGAGCATGAGTATTAGCAGTAGATGAACTATGCTTTCCACTTCGAATAGCGATGTATGTTGGTCCAGAATATCTAACGGCTTGCGGTTGTCCTAGCATATTGGAAGTGATTTTGATACCAGCACAAACAGATGGTATTAATTTATGACGCTCAGCGATACCCAATCGTGATCAGGCAATTTGATTCTATATTCCATGTGTATTACAAGAGGGTGCTTGCTTATTTGCCGCAGTTACGCCAATAGGGACTCCAGCTTATCATATTGAGATATGAAAAATACTTAATCTGGTCCAAGTATGGATGCTATGTTCTCTAAATAAGGATTGATGTTTCAGCGAACTGCTATCTAAGTGGCTCTTGTGGTGATCAGTTTGAGCCGAATGAGCTTAACAGGGACTGACGATACATATCTTCGACCCTCTGCAGAATTAGATTTTCTGGGAATCAAACGAAGATATGTCCCACTGCGACTAATGTCAAATCCTATTTTACGTAATTATTGTGTGAGTTCGTCAAGAGTTTTTACGCTGTGAATTGATTCCGTTCGTGTTCTATCATCTGCCTGCACTCCCAATAAAGCTATATCCGCGATTGTTTTCATAGTGAATGTTGATTGCTTTCAAGATTAGGATGTCCCACGGAATCCCTCAGAGATAGTCTTTTTTTTATTCTGAATTTTCATGACAAATATCTTCTAACTTTCTTTTCATACCATCCCTGTGTTTCTTCTGGGCAACTGCGTTTTGCACCTTCCTGTTTAAAGACTGTTTTGCTGTTTTTATTTCCTCGCGCGCAGCTTAATGAGCTGTTTATCAACTTCAACACGGCTTGGCACAGTATCTCTGGCAGAATACAAAGCATTCAGATTTTTTTCTAGTAGAGCAATTTTATTTTCATAGCTTCCTGAGAAGGTTTTGCTCTCTGGTTATCTGTATTTTCATTAATTTCGCATTGCTGTTGTGATTCATTAGCAGGTTTTATTTTATCTTCTCTCCTTTTTTAATATTTGAAGCTGACCGTATAATTTGTGTTTTTTCTGCAGGTTTACAGGTTGCCTAAAAATAAAACTTTCTATGGCTTCTGCTGAAGATTCTCTTATTAAGCTACATAAATACAAAGTATGGCAATATATATGGTAAATACAAGACCCTATGGCTTTAAATCTAATATGTTTAAACGAGCAATTCATTCCGGTCACAAAATACAGGGTGTTAGTTTTCTGTATATATGTATAAAACTAACATCCTGTACTTTGTAACCAATTGACGGAATCAATCATAAGAAATAAATCTATAACATAATATATATATATATATATATAATATAAATCTATAGAGATAGGCCATAATATTTTCTAATCAGTAAAGAGAAACTTTTTGGCGATTTCTAATATTTCTCAATAGGTACCTAAAATGATATCGTCACTCACCTTAGAAAAAAATTTAGTAGATTGGATTTATTCTTAGTCGCCACTTGCAATTCTTCTTCGATTGTCTTAGATACAATAATATCTAGTTCCTTGTCGGATTTTGCTTGTAATTTGTAATTTCGCCACACTTCGTTAACTAACTTTTGTACATTTTGTGCTTTCGTACTTCTATGAGATTTTTTAAAACTTTCAAACAATTTTTGGTATAACTTGGATTTGTCTATGTGAAACGACATCTTATTTAAACATTAAACTTTGGCTAATAGAATCGATGGTAACACAAATGTTAACTTGCTTTACTATGCTTACAATACGTCTACTCGCTATAGTATTCAAACGAAACAATACACTGATAGAGGAAATTTAGACAAGTGAACACCGCGCGGTATTTCCCCTGCTCGGTTCTAAAGCGAGCAGGGGAATTACCGCGCGCTGTTCACTAAACGTATGCATTATTTGCGAGAATCCCCGAAAATGCGTTTCGTTTTCAAGCAAAGACAATGTGAGGGTTGCCATTCGTGTAAAAAAGTAAATAAATACCGATGACGTAATTATCATCTAGACTCCCCTACCCCTCATATCATCCAAAATAAGCAAAGCAAAGACCCCCCCGCCCCCCATAGTGATCACGTAATACTTGAACCGGCCCCTTATGAATAAAAACAGTAATGAAAGTGAACATTTTGAACAAAATTTAGTAATTTCTATTAACAGTGACCGGGGTATTTAAAAGAAAGATTTGTGCCTTTGCTTCGTGCCCAGTTGAGCAGAAATAATCTCAATTTTATCGTACGAAGGCATAGAACGCGTTCCTTCCGACG